GATGATACATTTTAGTTCTGCTGAGTAGAGGATCCATTTTAGTTCTACTGAGTAGATGATACATTTTAGTTCTGCTGTAAAATGATTTCACTGTTTGGGTTCAGAAGAAGCAAAATAGGGTCTGCTCTGTCGATATCACAGTCGTGTTTGTCGTACAAATGGCTGCTAAAGCTGTGGTTTGCCGTCGGTACAAAAGTAAAAAATAATTCGCAAAGTGTTAAAAATCCCACGCTGATACCAATACATACTAGATACACCAGATTATAAGAAATGTACTGTTTACCGAAAAGGGGTCACTTGGGAGACATTCCCATAAAAACGTGCACAAACTTTACTGTCCCATAATTCAATATTCCCTAATCTGATTTGAACCAAACTTTGTATGTTTTTAATTTAGACCCTAATCTATCATCTCTCAAAATTTGGATGGAAAAATTCGGCCCCCTTCCGGTAGCTGGGGCATTAGTGAAATGTCTCCCTAAGGTCGAAAAACTAACCACAAAATATCTCCCAAATGACCGATGTCTCCCTGAGGTCGAAAAATTTACCACAAAATGTCTCCCTAATGACCGATGTCTCCCTGAGGTCGAAAAATCTACCATAAAATGTCTTCTTAATGACCCATTTGTAAGAATACTACTACATACAAAATAAAATACGACCGTATTTAAAATTAATAAGACAAATGTCCATTTGCTGGTAAAATTGAAACAAAAGATGGTATTCCTGCAAAGTTTGGTCGCCCATACAAGTAGGCAAAAAGAGAGTGGTCTACGGGAAATGTGGTATAAATGAGCAGCAATCATTTTTGAAGGATACATAGCTACAAATTAAAACACATAACATACCCATACCATTCATTTCTTTAAAATTGTACTGCGGCCGCAACCACCAAAAATACGAAGGTCATAGTTTTCACCAAGAAATGGAATAAATGGCCCAAGTGAGGTTGGAAAATGGGAGAGGAACACACGTCTCCCTTAGGATATGTTTTCCTGGGTCGTATATCAAAGAAGAATTCTAAAATTAATGATTTTAAAGACCACTGTCTCCCATTCAAAAACAGGCCTCTTGTTTTAGTTTAATTCTTTGAGAAGTGTGCTACAGTTAATTGCTTTTCCACAAACGTGAACGCAACTCAAGTAAAAAAAAGGCCTAATCAAGTCGACTTTAAAGTGTCATATCAACCAGTTCTTTTCGCATGTAATTCAATGTCAAATTTATGCACATAAGCCTGTTAAGTTTGATGCGACTGTGTGCATGCTTACAAAATAAAGTTCAAGTACGAGCAACAAATGCAGGAAGGTTAGCACTGTGGATGTTGTCTGTTGAGGTCTTGAAAAATTACCAGAAAATTGGGAACAAAATATAGGACCTAGTTCCACACACATTGGTTTATGCAGACCTGCCAACATGCCGTACTCAGTTTTCCCGAGGTCAGGTATTACTGCACAATAGATTAAAATTTTGAATGAACTGAAGGCTCATTTAAAGACCTTTTTATCTATCGTGCGATAATGCCTGACCCCAGGAAGGAGTACGGCAAGGTTGGCAGGTCTGTAATTTAATGTTCTGGGTTGGAAAAGATTGGAGAAAAGTTCTTCATATGTATAGATCTGTCAAACCTTTTTCAGGCAACAAAGTGAATATCCAATGGTACTCTTGATCGTTTTTTAATGGAGGGGGCAGAGCTCACTCATTAGGCATGAGATGATTAAATATTCATTTAATGCAAGCTACGTACGGCAGAATACTCTGCCTGGGGGGCTGACAAAGCTGAATAAAAAATTATTCATTTTTTCAGTATTATTTTCATAGGTTTACCATGGAAGTAGGATTTACTGACAAACTGGCTATGTGAACAACGAAGGAATAAACTGTTGCCTATAACAAACCCATCCTGGTTTAATTAGACCATCTCACAGCTAGCCAGGGGGCCGGATAATAATACATGTCTTATATAACAACACCGTGACATTACCTAAATTTATAGTGCGCATGTTCACATGCGCATTACAGAATGTTAATGTTTGATGTTACAGGCATTTCCGGTTCAAGGCCCCACACGTGCCTGCAACGTTCGCACGGCATTCGATCGGGATTCTTTCTCATTCGTATACTTACTTCTGCCTCTGTATTACTTATAGGACATTTCCTCAAACTCCCACTCATCGCGCTTAAAGATAAAAACAGCTCTGCCACGCATGCGCACCAGTGTTTCTTTAAGCATCTTCCCACTCATTCGTGTTTTTTCTCGTGTCCCAAAAAACTACGAAGCTCGAAGGAATTTACGGGTAAAGGCGCACATCAGGGGTGAGTAAGTGTAATTTGTACACCTTTGTTAGGTGTAGACTAGTATTATAGTTTGCTCTGTTGCAGTAGGTGGCAACTTAAAGCAAAAATTTTAGCCCGTCTGCGGATCTTTCGTGGGGAGTTCCCGTCATGGCGGCTACCGAGTGTACGGAGCGGGAAAATATGGCTGACAGCCCGCATCCTACCGTAATGACGAAACCGTGTTCCAGCGGAACATGTCGTAGGGTTCTGGGGGTGGATGACCCACGCTCACTGTGCTTTAAATGCCGTTTTGGTTCTAATGGGCATACCTGTGATCTGTGTCTGAAGATGGGCAGTTTATCCTCAGAATTATGGTCTTCCTCTGTGAACGAGGCTAAGGAAAAGAACAAACAGAGATTGGCAGATAAGGCAGCGGCTTTGTAATCGCCAGGGGCTTAGTGCAGCCCCACTAATGCCCCCGTGGGGTGGTTTGTTGACAGGGCAGAGTTCCAACAAAGTCTCAATGACTTTGAAAAACGCATGCAACATATGATGCAGAGTATGATGCAAGGTTTGGCCCAGGAGTTGGGCCCTTCAAGAGGAGTTACCCCCCATACTGTTTCCTGTTTGGGTGATGAGGCCCCTCCCCTTGGCCAGTCGGCTTCCGTTGAAGGTCTGGGTATGAGGCATATTCAGCCAGGGACTCCCGTGCGGGGCTCCGTTGGCTCTGAGTCTGTCGCACCTAGAGGTTCTGAGTTGCCACGTGGGGGGCAACCACGACAGCAACCTTACACGTGATGACGGTGGTGATTCATTGTTACTTCACCCAAGGCATGATGAATTGTTTGAGAATTCTGTGTCTCAGATGTACCGGCAAGCGTACAAGCCCAAGTCCACCAATGTCCTCCGTCGAAAACCTTCCTCCTCTCAGAGGGAAACCTTTAACCATGGTTTCCAAGGGGGTCCACCCAAGAAACCTCGGCTGGATGGGAGTAATTCTCGGAGCCCAAAGGCCAACTTCCAAAGGGGTCGTCAGGAAAGAGGGACTTTTTGGCGTAGTACCCATGGTGGAGGTACCTCTTCCTTGAAATCACAATAGGATAATGTGGGCCCTTCCCGTTCAACCAGAGGATCCGGTGGGGGGTCAAATTCAAAAAAGGGAGGATTTTTGGCAACACATTACAAGTGACCAATGGGTTCTCGAGATCGTGCAATCCGGTCATCTTTTGGAATTACAGGAAGTGCCCTATTTCAACGGAATCAAAAAAACTTCTGTCGGCTCACTGACAACAGGTTCTTCTGTTATGTTCGACGAGGTCAACGCCTTATTAGGCAAAAACGCCATCGAGCCTGTGCCTCAGATCAATCAAAACGAGGGGTTGTATTCAACGTTTTTATTGGTGCCGAAGAAACCCTCAGGGTTAAGACCAATCCTCAACCTACGACCTCTGAACAAGTCTATAAAGAAGCAGAAATTCAAGATGGAATCCCTCCGGTCAATAAAGAAAGCAGTAAAACCCTTCGATTGGCTTTGCTCAATAGATCTGAAGGATGCCTACATGCACGTTCCAGTGAGGGAATGTCACAGGAAGTTTTTGCGGTTCCATATCTGGAGGAAGACTTTTCAATTTCGGGTTCTTCCCTTCGGTCTCACGTCAGCACCGAGAGTGTTCGCGGAAATCCTGGCACCTGTTGTGGCCAGGGCGAGAATGAAAGGGGCCCATGTGTTTCCGTATTTAGACAATTTGTTGATAAGGGCTCCGAGCAAGGTTCTAGCTCAAGAAGGAGTCAACACAAATTTTGTTCTTTTAGAAAGTTGTGGTTTTTTAGTCAACAAGGGGAAGTCCAGTTTGACTCCCAGCCAGAATCTTGTATATATAGGCGGTCACTTCAAGACCAATCTGAATGTAGTTTGTCTTCCCCAGGAGAGGAAGGTAGAGTTGTTACAGTTTGTAAATCAGTTTATAGATCGGAATCAGGCTGCCGCTCAGGAGTTCTTGCAGCTCCTTGGGATGATGGCAGCCTGTATAGAAGTAGTTTGGCTTGCCAGGCTTCACGTGACTCCAGTTCAGTTGTACCTGCTCCATTTTTGGCGGCCGGCCTCGAGGAATCTGGAGGCTTTGATTCCAATCAACGACCATCTTCTGCATCACCTGCAGTGGTGGAGGGTAGAGAAGAATTTGCTGCAGGAGGCCCCGAGGGGGGTTGCCCCAGAGATCACTCTAACGACGGATTCGAGCGACTATGGTTGGGGAGCCCACGCGGAGAGTCAGTTTGTCCAGGGCCTGTGGTCGCAAATCTAAGTTCAATCCTGGCATATCAACATGAAGGAGTTAATGTCAGTGATGAAAGATTCTCACCACTTTTGCCCCTTTCTGAAGGGCAAACGGGTCCTAATAAAGTCAGACAATTCCACGGTGGTGTCACAGATAAACAACTAGGGGAGAACAAGATCTCCCAGCCTTTGTACGGCGGTTTGGAGACTTTGGCTATGGTGTGTTCAGAATCAGATCGTCTAGTCTGCAGTGCACATTCAAGGATCCCAGAACAACCTAGCCGACAAGCTGTCCAGGCAGACGTTGATGAATTTCCAGTGGAGCCTGTCTCGTTCAGTTGTGAAGTCTCTTTTCCGGAAAATGGGCGAGCCAGTGATCGACCTTTTTGCAACAGCCAGCAACAGACAGCTCCCAGTGTTTTTCTCGCGGGACCCGTGAAGCGAGGCATTTCACGTGGATGCCTTAACTCTGAATTGGGACGGGTTGACAGCATATGCTTTTCCCCCTATCGCACTGATTCATTTGGTTCTGGATCGCATAGAGCGTTACAAATGTGTGGTGATCCTCATAGCCCCGAATTGGCCTTGGTGCTCATGGTTGCCGAGAATGTTAGACCTCCTAGTGGATGTTCCCATTCAGCTTCCATCTCATCCCGATCTTCTGCAACAGTGGTTGGGCAGCGTATGCCATCCCAGACCGGAAGATTTCCCTCTCACGGCATGGAAACTGAGCGCAGACTGCTCTGCCAGGCAGGCCTTTCAAAAGAGGTTATTGACACAATCCAGAGTGACGTCCGCTCATCCACAGGAGAGGTGTATAATAGGCAATGGTCAGTGTTTCGAGATTGATGTGCTTCAAGGGGTACAGATCCATGCTCAGCATCTGTAGAGGAAATATGCACCTTCCTGCAGTCCTTGCTTGAGAAGGGATTAGCTTACCAGACGCTAGGTGTTTTCCGATCCTCCATCACAAAGTTCTATAATGGTCTCCGTGGAAGGCCTATTGGTCAGCATGAAACTATTTGCAGGTTTCTGAAAGGAGCTTTTCACAAGAACACCCCCCTCGGATGTTACTTCCTGGGTGGAGTTTGGATGTGGTTTTACGGGCTCTGCAGCAGACTCCTTTTGAACCCTTAGCAGAGACATCTTTGCATTATTGTACCCTTAAGACTATTTTCCTGGTGGCTATCGCATCAGCGAAACGATGTTCCGAGCTTCAGGCTATGGGTCGTGAAACCCCTTACCCGCGTTTTGAAGCTGGTGGGTTAAGGGTACGTTTTGTTCCAGGTTTCCTCCCTAAGACTGCCACTCCACTCCATTTGGGCCAGGATATTTTCCTTCCAGAATTTGGAGATGCCAATTTAGGCCTTTGTGTTAAACGGGCTTTATCCATTTATATCAGTCGAACATCCTCCCTGGTGGCTGTTAGGGAGCAGGACCTGTTTGTTGCTTTTGGTGGCAAGCAACGAGGGCACCCTGTGTCCAAGTGTACCATCTCAGATTTGTTGGTAAAGGCAATTGAGGAAAGCTACCAACTTGCTGGCATCCCTTTGACAAACTCAGTCCAAGCTCATTCTACCCTTGCCATGGCCACATCCTAGGCAATGTTTAATGGAGCCTCTATTAATGATGTCATGAAAGCAGCAGACTGGAGAAGTTCGTCGACCTTTGCACAACACTATGGTCTTAACCTGTGGAAACGAGCTGAGGGCCATTTTGGCAGAACAGTTTTGCTTCATCAGGATTAGAAGGAACCGGTGAGAACCATATCTTTTTAGCGTTGTCTGTGTACAGTGTTCTTTGGTTCAGGTTTTCTTCTTTTTTGGTTTTTTTTTTGTATGCTGGGTGAGCAGGAGGAGCAGTTAATTTAGGAAGGCTGGCTCCCTCCTCCTTTATACTGCTTTGGGAATCTGTCCCATAAGTAATACGGATGCAGAAGTAAGTATACGAATGAGAAAGAATGTAAAATTTCGAAGAAATTATGATTCTTGAATTGAGTACACTTACTTCTGCATCGCTCCCACCCTCCGTCCCGGCCTCTCTACATTGATTTTTCTCCCCTGGCATGTTTCAGATGCTGAAAGAAGCACTGGTGCACATGCGTTGTGAGGATAGTGAAGGGACCCGGATGTGGACACGTGGCAGAGATGTTTTTATCTTTAAGCACGATGAGTGGGGGTTTGAGGAAATGTTCTATAAGTAATACAGAGGAAGAAGTAAGTATACTCATTTCAAGAATCATAATTTCTTCGAAATTTTACATTACGACAAGTGGATTAGTATTTGGCAGCCCGATGTTTCGCTCTGGCGCCCCCTGTTGCTAGTCGGTAGTTATTTGGGGTCTGTGGTGTCGCCAAACCTGACCAACGTTATGACAGCTCCAAAAAAAAAAAAACTGACGCCGAAAGCCGAAGCCATACTTGATGGAAATAAAATAAATCTATTGAAGTATGGATAGTAATTGATTTGAGAAAAAGATATTGATGGAAAAGGAGATGTGGAAATTTTACATCTAAGAGTAGCCCTGTGTGTGTGCGTTTTATTCCGTTTATATGACAATCCTACTGAATAATAATAATTTTTCATATAAAAATTCAATTTTTGGGTTGTAATATTTTGTTGCGAAAATAATAACCCTGCCTCCTACTTCATTTTTCCATAGGATGAGTAAAAAGGGGTTTGCGTCTGTTTTTAAATTCCTTTTTTTTCCTTTTTTTTTTTTTTTTTGAATTTCCACTTTTCTCTCTCTCCAAGACGACTGGATTTTCTTGTCTCCGATGTGTGGCATTCTTTGTGTTTAGGGGAGCTTTTGCCCTTCTAAACATAGCCTCATATTTTGTTTAAAACAAGTGAAAAGGCCAATTTCATAGCCAAAAATGATTATTACACTGGAGGCAGATGAGAGACTTGGTAAGTGTGTGTTTGGTGTATAATTTCAACGTGTATTTCGTGTTTTCACGTCTGCTGTGAATTAATGTCTTCGATATTTCGCTGGAAAAAGATGAAAATCATTGAGACGGAACTTCGACCGAATTTCATCTAAACTAACATTCTTTATTCACAAAATAGCATCGTATATAAATATATCTATATATCTCGATCGAACACAACCAAAACGTTTCAAGTTCTGTGCTTTTTCGAAACAAAACGCAGCAAAATTCACAAATCAGTGCAACGAGTTTTTTTTTCTAAATTAGCACTATGTCCAAAGTAGGCTTTTATTAAAGTCAAACAATGCCTGAAATTTAGCCCAACACTGTGGCTTTTTATTGTTTTATTGTAAGCAGAAGGAAATGTCAAGATCTGATGTGACGAAACTTTAAATTCTGGGTTTACACAGTTAAAAAGCGCACTATATGCCTCATAATTATGTCAACTGTACAAATTAGCTCCTGCGTCCAACACAGTCGAGGAAAAGACCAGATATTCTGAGTTTTTAGAATGTTGATAAAAGGATGAATTCCAAGATTTCAAGTGTGTTTGTTGAACAAACTGGAACTAAAACACTTTTTTTTCTTCTCAAGGAACAGAATTCTCAGTAAGCATCATAATAAAATATATTGATCCCGTATTTGCCGTTGTTGGGATAAGGTAATACATAGGTAATTGAGCCGCCTTTATTTCTTCCAACGACCTCCACAACAGATGTAAACATCAAGATCAAAGCGTCATTCATGCTGATGTTCTACAGTTCAGAACTATGAGCTCAAAGGTCGAGGATAAACGATAAATGTTCAACTTGGCAATGTACATATAGCAACGGTCTATTTTTTTAGTGTAGGAAAAACCTTATTGCTGATGATAAACTCAATTCGGTTTAGGAATCAGAAAACTTCTTGACACTTGTAGACCACGAATAGTGATGATTATTTCTATTAATTTTTGTATCATTAGAAAATTAATATTTTTGTATAGACATGGTCAGTGTTCTGCAAAATAACAAAAAAAAGTGGAATGCGTATTTTTCATGTCAAAGAAACTACCTGAGAATGGTTTCGTCCTAAATCACGTGATTTCATGCCCACGTCGAAGTCGCTAAGTCGCATTTCGACGCCATTTTTACCAACAGTAACAGACGCCATCTTTACCAAAACGAAAAACCGGATGAGATTTCCATTTCATTGTTTCTGATTTTAAGCCCAGTGTACCCAAGGTTATACATCACACCTGTCTATATCCAGAAATCAACATGCATATCAGAGACCTGATATGAGACCTGCCCCAGGACTTACTCACATACCAGACGCACAGGTAGGCCTTAGATTGAATTACCTGACACATATACAAATAGGCTGACTAGTTGTTCGAGAAAAATCACAGTAGAGGTAACGGCGCAAATGCTCCAACCGCGCAATTGAACTTCAGGACTGGTGCCAGCTTCCTTAATGATTTATTCCTTCTCACGGATCTAAGTGTCTTTTACTCCAAAGGGCGCAGAATGGATGAAGCTTCGGCGAATGAATCTGGGGTTGCGAGCAGTGAAGGACGGGCTCCAGTAAAGGGAAATGAAGAAGGTCCTTCCAGTCGGCCGTCTGTGAGTGGACTTCAGGTTGCACAAACGCCTGAAGGTACATTCTGAGGCAGTACATCACCGTAATAATCCACTTTCTCTGGGTGGGATCACTAATCCTGAGAGTTTTCACGAAGAGACAAATTGGCCCCTAATCATGATGTTTTCCATTAAGTTTTTGTTTGTTGGGGGAGGGGGGCAAATTCAGCTAGGCTATGCAATGCCTACAACTTGATGTAACCATTTGAAATCACCCAAACCACGATGATTTATTTAAGGCAAAATTCAACTCTGCCTCATTTATCGTTGTCACGAAGAGACAAATTCATCTTCTCTAGACATAACGTTGGCAAAACGAGCAAAACCATAGGCAAAACTCAATTTGTAGTTTTCACGAAGAGACAAATTTTTGACTCCAGAAATATATACAAACGTGACAATGTTGCAACTGGCACGCGCTATGGCGAAAGCGTGTACTGTGTGTGTGCCGTTTCCACGAAGAGACCAAAAGTCACACGTATTTTAGTGTTTCACGAACAGATAAAATTGTTTGTTTAGATAATTAACAATTCTAGTTAGCTTCTATAAATATTACTTTGTAGTTTTGTGTCATGTAAAATCTCCTCGTTTATGAATTCGAAGGAATGCAAAATACTAGGAAATTAAGCGTTTGAAAAAGAGACCAACTTTAAATGCAATTTTCCATAAACCTACGTTTTACTCCCCAGTGAGAAATTTGTCTCTTCGTGAAACTGCGACCACTTGGTGGGTCAGAAATAAGTTCCGAGTCACAGGGCTCTTTCATTTCGTGGGTTTGCTTGCACTCGCTCAATGTCATTGTTTATCACTGAAGTGCTGTGAACAGAAAGCGACATTCGGCATCATCAAAATTAAGAGGTCACTGTTGGTGTTGTCCTTGCGCTCCATCCGTAATTTCTGTTGGCATTTCTGTTTGAACTTTTACATTGTTGCAGACCGTTTTATTCAGAGTTAAGAGCACTTAATGTGTACCACATAATTACTCTTACAGAGCAATGCGTAAACGAAACAATTCTACACAAGATGGCTGAAAAGCTTGGTCGGAATTGGAAAGCATTGGCCATTTATCTCGGCATTACCAGCTCTGAGGTTGACGCTATCGTGGGTGATATCCCGAATGACACTGTACATCAAGGTTTCAACATGCTCGTGAAATGGACACAGTCTCAGTCCCTCAGCGTCAAAGACCAGATGACCAAATTATGCACAGCGCTGACAGACATTAAAAGAGTCGACATTGCCAACATGGTGCAGGGTAATTATGAGTACTCTTTGAGCATTTTATCTGTCCAGCAAATATCTAGGTATTAATATAGACAAATGATGGTCACGTATAAATTAATTTCTTATGAAAACACCCCTCGATCTCTTTTTTTTCCTCTAAATTAAATATGTATATATATTTGAAAAATACTGAATATCATGTGAAAAATATTGTAAAGGCGCAATGTTTATTACGTTTTATGTTTCGTTCATTAGGTATACAGACAAGCGCTCTATCGGGTAAGTGTTGGTGAATTCTCGAGTCTTAAAATTTTCTCCAAAGGAAGAAAATAAAATTGAGTTTTTTAATCAAAAAGGTAGAACGTATTGAATTTACGTTGAGCTAAACACGCAAAGCACATTTACATGCTGAATCTGTCAGAAAAAATCAGTACCAAACTCAAACTGAAATGAAAAACTGAAATGCAGTTAACAGTAAAATCTCCCAAAAATAGAGGGGACAACTTCTTAATGTACAACTTTACTGTGTTATTCACTTTCCAATAACTGATGCATCTTTTTCAACAACAGGCCCCGATCAACTGGAGATTTGCCAAGATCTGTTGTTCACTTTCTACGATCAGCACAAGGCTTTTATCCCAAAGTTTATATCCTCGTCTATGCTGCCAGTTTTAAGTATTGATGACTTCTACATCCCTTTACAGTTACTTAAGAGTGGGCAGCATGTAACACGTAAAGATGTTAGGATGAAACGGACGACTAGAATCTTGAATAGACCCACAACTGAACCATTACACACGTGGGAAGAATTTTATGACGAGAAAGGGGTAGGAAAGAAAATGATTCTTCTCTCAGGCGGGGCTGGATATGGCAAGTCGACCATTTTGGTCAAAATAGTAAGGACCTGGAAAAAAGGCGAGGGGTCAACAGTAGGCAAATTCAAGCTCATGTTCTTGTTAAGGTTGGACAAGATGGCAACAGGCTGTGTCCTAGATGCTATTTATGATCAGCTGTTACTGCGCACTGACAAGCTCAAAAAGTCCGATTTGAAAAGAGTTATCAGTGACAACGAAGCCGATATCGCATTCTTGCTCGACGGGTTAGACGAAATACCATCCAGTGCTTTAAAGTCGAAAGAGGGTGAATACCCAATCGGTGATTTACTGGGAAACAAGGTTTTGCTGAAAAGTTGTGTGTTGGTGACAACTCGCCCACACATGGTTGAGCGTGTCATCAAGGGCTTCCCAGATTATGCGAGGGTAGAAACGGTAGGATTCACTGTCAAAAACAGAAACAAGTACATTGAAACCCACTTTCCAAACGACCTCACCATCGCTAGAGATTTAATCTCGTGGTTGGATTCCAACCAATCTCTCCAGGAACTGTCACAATGTCCGATCATTGCACGCATGCTATGTTTGCTTTGGCTGAACAGACCCGACGCGTCGAAACCGTTGCCAGACAAATTAACGACAGTGTACAAAGAGTTTGTAGAAGCTCTAATTAAGCGCTGCCACAGTGCAAGTGACACTGGTGAAAATAAAAGTGGCGTTCAGCAACTGATGAGAACAATCCTCGAGGGGCTAGGAGAAGTCTCCTTACAGGGCCTTCTAGAAGAAGACACAGTATATTTTAACCCAAAAGATTTCGCTGGGCGTGATGTAGTTTTGAAGAATGGCCGGGAAACAGGTCTCTTGCAAAAAGAAAAGGTCGCAAGTGGCTTGAGTGATGTTGAGGTGGTTACTTTTCTCCACAAGTCCTTCCAAGAATACTGTGCAGCATACCATCTTACAAGCCTGCTCACTAAGGACGGAGAACAGCGGGAGGGTTTCCGCCAGAATCTGCAAAATATTATTTCAGTTGGTGTCATGAAAATGCAGTATGTGTTACGGTTTTGTTGTGGCTTGTCAGAGGAGGCTGCTGGTCTCATTCTGAGCCAGATGAGAAGGAAGGGAAGTGACGACGTAGATCAGCAATCGTTGGCACGCTTGTTGTTATTTGAGTCTGGGTCAACAAGGTTGGCGTTCAAACTGGAGCGCCCCAATTGGTTGAGTTGCTGGGGCCAAGAGCAAATGGCGGCGCTGCACTTCTACCTCGAGTCCGGTATTAAGCCGCTAAAAGGCACGTCCTTCGTCATCTACTGCAGATCGTGTGTGGACGTAAAAATGCTTGGAGATATCTTCCGGAGTTGCAAAAGTAAGCTATGGACTTTGATCGTTGAATGTGTCTTGTCAGATCAAGGAGTTGATATGTTGCAGACGCTTGAGAAGGTACTTAGAACAGCAGATAAGGTGTTGCTAAGCAGGAAGTTGATGTGTATAAAGGTCAAGATTTTTGCAGAGTCAGATTACGGAGCTCAGAACCTTCTAAAGTGTATCTCCCATGTGCCTAGTCAAGTATGGAATATCTGTGTATCAAAAAGATCCCCAGAAGATGTGTACGCATTACTGGATGCGCTAAAAGATCATGCCTTACAGAGCTTCTCTGTAGACAGTGTCAACATGCATGGTCGTGTGCCTGCCTTGGGTCTTCTTGTTAGTTCCTCTCTAAAATCACTGGGGATAACTGACTGTGAACTGGATGATGATGATGCCAAAGACTTGATGGGCATTCTCCCTGCTGGCCATGGTTTGACAGATCTTTACCTGGATGACAACGTATTCAGCATGGATGCAGTGGAGGCTCTTGCGAGTCATTTTCAGCATCTTCCCGAGCTGTGTGACTTGTCGCTGGATAACGTCGGTAATGAAGACCGCGTTGAGCAAGTGCTTAAGCAAAACATTCCTCAACTGGAAGCAAACGCGACGAAGGCATCTCAGTGGTTTCCATGTAGCTCGTATGAAGATGCAGAGCAACTGAAGCAAAGTTTTTCGACGAGTGGCAGGGTTGCCTCCAGTGGATGGATAGTCATCTATTATATCATGTCTGAGCGAGGGAATGAGGAGATGGAATTGTTTGAGAAAACACTCAGTACGCTTGACGAACGGCTCCTTGGGAGGTTGGAATTCTCGCTCACTGTTGTGGAAGGGAGTGTCTACGATGTTGAGCAACTCACAAAATTCAGTTGCCGTTTGTCCTCTCTGGTGGAGAGATTCAAACTCTTCATGCGTGAACGACCAGCAGCAGATGTTATTCGCCTGCTGGACTCAGTAACCGGGGAGTGTTGTTTGACGAATCTCGAGATAACTGGCACCAACATGCAGGGCAACGTGATTCATCTTGCTCCCCTCATTGGTCCATCCTTGGAGAAGTTGAAACTAGCCGAATGTGGACTGAATGACGATGACGTCGGATACTTGAAATACATACTCCCAGCTGGGCAGGATGGCTTGGAAGAGCTCGATCTTTCTTACAACGAGTTCAGTCTAGAGGCAGTGAGGGCTCTGACTAAACATCTCCGAAGCTTCCGGTACCTAACCGAGGTGTGGCTCTGGAGCAAATGTGTTGATGACGCTGTCGTTAAGCAGGTTATTCGAGAATTTCTTCCCAATCTGTTGGCATGAATATGACCACTGCAATCAAAGCACACAGTTGAAGCCACAGTCCATGGTATGCGTGCAGACTGGACTCGCAGTTATACAAGACATTGGCCTTAGACATTAGCGGATGAGAATGGGGGGGGCAAGAAGGCAAAGCTAAATTAATTATTAAATTATATTTCTATTTTTTATATAGACTATATATAGGACTACTTCATGCCCATTCCTACTGAAAGCTTTCAAAGTGCCTGCAATTTTAGCCTCATAACAAGAAAGGCTATTGGATATTACATTAAAAAGTCCCCCCCCCCATTTGATTCGGGATCCGCCCTAGCCCCAAGACCGTAACAAATTATATAGCGGAAAATGAATTAGTTTACTCAAAAGTAATCGTTACGTGACGAAAGAACAGGTTATGGGCAAGTAAATAGGACATAATGCCATCCTTAAGCCAGTGATGTAGTCGAGTACTTTTTGAGATCCAAGTTCTCTACCAAATATTTAACTAGTTAGAAGGGAACAAAGCTGAAGTACATCGGCATTTGATGGTACATGCAGAAAGGTAAGATTACAAAGCAACGTAATGACTTCAGACCATCACTGTTTGATTAAAATTAACTTTTTAGGACAAAAGTACTCGGAAAGTACTCCGCCGAGTACTTTCCGAGTACTTTTCTCCTCAAAACTTAAATTCTACACAACTGGGAGTGTCTGAAGTCTAACATTTATTTTGTAATCTTACATTTGCACATTTACCATCAAATGCCTGAGCACTCTGGCTTTATTCCCTCTTACCCAGTTCAGTATTTTGCAGAGAACATTGGTACTCAGAAATTACTCGACTACAACACTGCCTTAAGCTCGACTCAGGACGGCACTATCGTTCTTGTTTATATCAAGGTGAGAGGTTCAACCTCGTACACAAGCTTGGTCAGTACAATGGTTTCTGTATTTAGGGCGCACATAGTGACCGAATGTTTTGAACCGCAAAATATCCACAAGATTAACAACTTGTACATAAATGACATGTATGATAAGATCTGTCTCATAATCATGGAGCAGTATAATATAATCAGTTAAATAATGCAAATATTTCCAAATAGGTCACTTGGGAGACATTTTGTGGTAAATTTTTCAACATTAGGGAGACATCGGTCATTAGGGAGACATTTCAATGTCTCCCTAATGCTCCAACTACCAAAAAGAGGAAAAATTTATTTTCCACATTTTGAGAGATGATAGATTAGGGTCTGAAAGGAAAACATGCAAAGTTTGGTTAAGATCGAATAAGGGAATATTGAATTATGGGACGGTAAAGTTTGAAAAATTTTCTGCACGTTCCTATGGGAATGTCTCCCAAGTGACCCATTTTCGGTAAATAAAATAAATGTAATTATCTTTTAGCTGAGACTAAAGAAAGTATCTACTTGCGAACTAAAGTACTTTTTTAATTATGAGTATCAATGTTATGCAATGGCTGGTTTTCTGTAAATGTAGTGTAAACAAAATGTTTCCTAACACGGAGATGTTAAATTGCAACTGAACTTGACTTTGTGTGTTGTAAGTTGTCCAATGTTCACCAATTCTTTGCAATGCATGTGTGTGATTCTGTTTAGCTTTTGTTTATCACCGGTCGAAAGATTCTATTAGAAGCATTGTACATGTAGGCCTCACACTTTGGAGCGGAAGTGCAAACAGTTAGTCGTGTCAGTGTTATGTTTCATCCCAAACTAAAAATATGTGTCTTTTTTGTACTGAAATTAACCGATTCATTTTCAGTTTGTAAGCTTAATTTTGGTTTGAGCACCAACTGCTTTCGTACTTTGTGTGTGTTGTGTGGATCAAAATTCTGCATTGTGCTTCAGCAGAGCCACTTGATCGAGTTAGTCAATGATTCACTTTGTATTTACAAGCCTAACTTTAGTTACAGAGGTCATCGAAGCCAGCGATGATAAAAGTTTTCTACAGGTCGACACTGTATACGGGACAGGAAGGCTTGTACCGGCATCAGTACAAACACTGCTGAATGTGTCAGTTCTGTTTACATTATTATGAGAATCATGGAAGAATGCAATGGAACAAACAGGAGAATGTACATGATAGTAATTATGAAGCACAATGTAAGCTGGCTCTAAAGCATTTCAAGAGAGGTATAAGCCGGTACCTGTGAATAATGTATTAATTTTAAGTGTTATATAAAAATCAACCAAAGCATTATACACGTAGTTCGGTGTTGTATTGATTTAAGACTCGGTTGTCGTTCAAAGAATGGTTTTACCACTTCAAAAATGACTGTAATGATGTCCAAAGAAACGTCCAAACTGTCCAAAAAAAGTCCAAAAACGATGTGAGTTACATACCGAGAGAGAGAGAGAGAGAGAGAGGCGACGAGTTTGCGACGCGTTGGCCAATCACAATGCGCAAAGTCTGTCAACCCAATGAGCGTTTGGAATGGGTCATTTCGCGCGTTGTGATTGGCCAACGCTTTGCAAACTCTTGGAGGCCCACTATTGTGAATCGCCCGTATTCATAACAGTGGGCAACTGAGCATGCAACTATTTTATGTTCAGGAAACCGTGGGCTCACTATTCCAACAGAACCCTTACATTACCTTCCTGGAAATGAAAACGCAGTAACAGTGCCCTCATTTGTCGGAAAAGTATGCATAGAAAAGTAGCACAAAGAAAGTTACTTCACATCCCGATTCCTTGAAGTTTATTTTTGACATGGTGTCATAGCTTTGCTGTTAGTTCAGCGCATGAATGCGGATACATAAGACACCTGGCTTGAAAACAAGAAAACCACTGCAATTAATCAAGTGGCTTGGCAGAAAATCGAAACGAATGTTGCGAATCGTTTGTCTATTTTATGTTCCGTTCTATTTACAGACAAATGTCAATGTACCTCAGGAAGAAGTAGTGAACCTACTTCTGAACCAATACCAACAAAAACATATCTAAAGCAGCGACTGAAAATTTGAAATGCAAAAGAGAAATGGAGGGATACAGCCAGCTTGAAATTCAATTCCGATAATGATTTATCGTTAAACAAAGTAAACTCTCAATTAGGTAATATTATATACATTTAGTTGTAGTTGTAGCCGATCGATCAAAATGGTTCGAACGCGTTTATCATTAATACCACGTCAGAGGTTTTGCGGAGGAAATCTTGGTTTCTGCTTTTCGCAGCGGCCTGCAGCTGTCCCAGGCAAACCTATTTTATCTAACGGTACAAAACCTTCGTCAGCCTCGAGTAGTCCGTGGTTTGCCCCTTGTCCCCAAAAGAGAACTGTTTACACGGATGCCGATGCTATAATGGCTGGGAGATGGGGAATTATGGGGAGGGGGGTTGACTTGCACGGCCGTGGAAATTTGAAAAGCGGGGGGGGGGGCGCTGACACCGCAGGCTCCAGGGGACGATCGTTCATGTCACATCTGTACATCTTATTAAATAATTGATATGTGTTACATTCCTGCAGAACCTAACCTTAAAGCGGCGTATTTGCAGCATTGAAATAATTGTTATCCCTTTCTGAGTGCTATAGAATACAGTTTGGTTGTTGGAAAGTCCGAACAATTCTTCACAATCCGCCTTTCTTTTCTCACCACAAAAAACAGTTTGTGCATGATTCAATAGCCCACCTCCCTGGCCCAAAACGTGTCGGGCGATATACAACCCCCGGTCCCCCCACCATCGGAACTTATTACGCCTATGGCCAATGTCAATTTATGACGTCATTCCCATTACGTCAGAATGGGACATCAACTCACGAAGGCCTGTTTTGAAGAAAAACCTTTGGTGACATCACATGCAGGCCACCTTACTGGCTTTTCTTAATTACGTAACACGTTAAATTACGTACCACCGACCATCACCAAACCAACAGGGCCGATTAATACTTCATGTGAAAGCCTTTTAACTGTCCACGGAATTTTTCTTCGGTTTCACAACAAAAAGACATGCAAGGTTAAACATAAACATGTCTCTCCAAAAGGCATATTTTAGGATCAGTACAATATTTAAAAATCTAGTCTACGTGCATTGGGATGCAAACACAGCCCAGGGGGCATTGAATTCGGTTGTCTCTAACGTGACGAGAAAACTAATTCTCAAATCGAAGTGAAGCTATAACGACCAATGATTCAAACTGCACATTCACTGATTTACTTTCACAATTTTTGGTAACATCTGTCGAATCTAAGGACGCTGTCAGGTGTCTGATAATCAATAAGCAAGATGGGCCACTTTATATAAATGAGCCTCCGCAAACCGATTGGGTCCTGACAAGTACTCTAGGCAGCAAAAAAGCTGAGTCCAACACTCCAATGACTCTCCAACATCTTCCCTGCATCAGCGTGGTGGCTCTACGTGTACCGCAAGGTATGTCAGTGACTGTAACATTGTTATTTGTCCCAATCATTCCTTTAGACAATTAAGCATTCACATTATGCTCTACCAACTGAAGCACTGTTTAAAACTTGCCAGTTAATTGAGGGTTTACATTAGGCGTAACTATTCGACAAACAATGTCTCATTTTCATCCCGAATTTTGTCAGGTTTAATTGCAGAATCCTATATCTGATTTACATCAGCATATTGTAAATTCATTTTGTTTCCAGTTATAAATTCTCAGTGCAAGGTTTAAATTGTTCTACTTTGAGGAATTTTCATGATTGCATCTCAGCCTTTCAGGCTACTATAGGAGGAAAACAAATAATTTTTAGTGTCTTGGTCATTAAGTTAAAACGTTTATAAGACAACATTGCCTTTGATCTTCCTGATTTCAAATTCCACTAATAAAACATACTTGAAACTGAATGCTTCTCTTCAATTGAATAAAAAGTAATCTTCGGAGTTTACTTAATATGAAAATCATGGTAAAACAAAAATATCCTTTTATTTTCTACCAATTATGCAATGTTATGATGAACGCATAAATCACGCGTGAAAATGGACACTGCCAATGCTAGGTGAGCAACTTTCTTACACGAAAATGAAAAACAAATTATACGGCGAAATTATTGGTTTTTAAGAATATTTCTGAAAATTTATTAAATACCCCCAGAGGTTTGTTACTGTTTTTGTTAGCTTTTAAAATCAAACAAAAATAAAACAACAAAGAGAAAACTAACTCAGCTTATGCCACAGCTTCAAATAATGTTTTACTCATCGGGATACGAGATTTAGGCATACTGGCTGTCCTATTATTAGTAGATTATGGGTACACCAGGCCCAACCCATTATTGGCCAACACCAGGCCCCCCGGACAACACCAGCCCCCTGGCCAACACCAGGCCTAACAAGTATGGGCAATACCACCTACTCAAAGCTACATGTACACGCGGGCGTCGATGAGGGGTGTTCGGGGTGTCACGCCCCCATTGGTTATTTTTGTCGGCAAAATCATGGTATGTCGGCAAAATAAAAAAACCCCCGAAGAACAGAGAAAGAAGGAAGGGGGAGAAAACGGAGGTACGTGTTGGGCTAGGGAACCAGACTACAGTACACTCGTTTTGCGTGACGGTCCGTTGGCAACGGCAGATTTCATGTGGCATCCCCCCTTCCCCATTCAAAATGGTCTAGCAAAGCCCATGCATGTACATGAGCCACTCCATGGTTCGCACATAGATTGTCCGTTGCGATCACTTCCCACTGATCCTACATTCAGTTGGAAAAGTTATAGGCGCGGGACACTTTTGAGCGCTGTTTGAGATTTACTTCAAATGCTATGAAAATCACAGAACTCACACATGGATTGATCCTTGATAGCTTCCCATTGATGTTACATTCAGTCGGGAAAACATAGGTTCGTGACCATTTGAGCGCTATGCAAACCAATTCAATTTTCACACTGATTAGATATAAAACTTAAGTAATTTAACCACCCAAAATATGACAACAGGCTTACTGGCTGTCTCCATTGCTGGACAAACCAAACAGAGTCGAACAAAGTACAAATTAACCCGAAGAAATTCCTAATAAAAGACAAATTTAGTCTCATGCATGATACGAGCCAACACTACATTGTAATCAAACTGAATTTGCTGTGTAGGAGGAGTTACGGGGGCAGAGGTTTGTGAAAATCGAATGCAGGAGTATTAAAATTAACATATGCACTCAGATGGCTGTGACAGGACCGTACAGCCAGCTGCACTCCAAGTGGCCCTACGCGCGCGCACCCCGGGGGAACCTGATTGATTATAAAGTTTTCCAGCGTAATTTGCATGCCTGTAACCTTTCACACTGTGCATAATTACCTTTATTAGGCCAATATCTGACCCGGCCTGTCATTCGCGCTCAGTGTGCAACACAAATGCGACAAAGTTCGATGACTGAAATAATTTTATCCCCCGGCCTGTTGACAAGCTGTGCACAAGATTGATATGGTTACATAAACCGTCTGCGCATCGGGATAAAGAAGCTTCGCTGAGTATAACTCGCTTTACTTAGCAGAGTAAACGAAAATAAGTTTACACAGAGTTTCTTCAATTTTAGACTGATCTATACGTGCACGAGTTGTTAGTAAAATAATCGAAAGTCGAACTCTTCAAACAATCGCTAAGAACTGAACTGAGCAAGCACTTTGAGTATGGCGTGCGCCCTCTGCCTCCTACTATGACAAAGACCTAATACGTAGTTCGTGTCCATATTTTCCCATTGGTCCAAACATTTAGGACACAAGATGGCGAGATTTACTGTGATCCTGATGCTGTCTTTGCTGTTTCAGCTTGAAGTTGTTGAGTCGTGCGAAATCGTCCCTAATGGTAAGTTATTAGATTCTCACACACACAAAAAAAGATTTTGTCTTTTCCAGTAGCACAAACCAAACGATAACCCAAATCAACTGCACACAGAGAATGAGGTACTAGCTATCGAAAAGCACAGCGTCACCTCCTCAAGACGCTACGCGACTGCATGACTGACTTTATGCAACGAACCTACACAACGCAACTGCACAACTATGTTGTTATTGTTCTTTTCTCATTTTCATCCATTCTTTGTGTTTTTATCGACAATAAAACTTAGTCTCTGTCAATTTGCATAAAACTTTTTTTTTCAAACGGGTCAAATAAGTGACAGATCGTGAGCACGGGGCAACGGGCTAGTTTTTCCTTTCTGTTCTCACAGCTTGAACATCATAAA